GCCCAGTCTCACAGTACACGTTTGGAAAAAAGAGATCAAGAATCAACAGATGAATTATATGTCATGTATTTTGTTCATATTGTTTTAGAGTCCTCCAAGAGAACCACTTGCCATATAAATGGTCATCTTGTATATTTGAATGTAGGTTGAACATTTGGTTATTACCATTTACTTGCATTTCTTTGTGCCAGTACTTCTGCCTGTATATAAACCTTATAAGACACATTTTGCCAGTCTGACATTCATTAGTCTTGAGCCACATGCACTGTATAATATCACACTTGCCCCAGAATCTGCTTTATCTAACCTAAAACCTACTTAATGGATATTCATAGTTTCTAGTTGATTATTTCTCATCAAGACCATCCTGGGATGTTTCTCCTGATATAAACCCCTTAAAAAAACAAAGCATGTTTCTGGGGATGGTTCAACATTGGATTCTGATAAATAATTAATATGTCTAACTTTTTTAAAAAAAATAAATAAATCAAAGTTGCTGACCTATTTGAAAAGCTGCATGGTGAGGATGCAATACTAGCCAAGCAGGTTGATGGCACCATCAACAATTCATGTAACACGGTTATAACTGTCACCTTTCAGCACATTTGCTCTGCAGATTTTGGATCAAAGGAAAGCCTCTCTTTTGAACTTTTTGAGCACTCCCAGAACATGTTTAGGTGTGCCTGGATTTGTCGTTAAGTGTAATACTTAGCCTGATTATGGAAAATAAATTGCTTAAGGAAAGGCACAGTTTGTGAATTTATGTATAGTGCTCTGCCTGTGTAGGTGTATTAATTTGTTTCTTTAGTGTTATATATACATTAAAGAAACAAAAGAATCCTACAGTTGCTATACAGGAACTAAATGCATTAGGTCAATTTAATCAAGCTGGGTATACTGTAGTGTACACAGTAATACCATTTGGTTTAAGCAGTACTGACAGTGCTAACAAGATGTGTTTACACTACACAGAGCAAACAGAGGTAAAAGGTCAGGTATATGTGTGTTAGCTGAATTTCCTGACAGTGAAATATGTGACTAAAAATTCAACATAACACAGTAATCACACATCAGAGCCAATAATTGAGGGTCCAAGATCATAAAAGGTTTGTTTCATTTGATTATGAACAGGTGATTTCTATTTTTTAAAAATTATATTTTAAATTTTTATTTTTGAAAAAGTAGAAAATAGGCCATGACAATAGGCAATGGCCTAGCCTAACCATAACCCTATGCCATTGTTTGTTTAACATGACAAATAAGAAAATATTTCCTGCTCTGCAGAACTACACACTGAGACTTACTTTGGACTTGATGATAGATATGAGACATACCTACATACCACACTTGCAAACGGACTATGGTTGTAATCAACGCACGCCTTATAGCAAAGAAGTATTTTTTTTATTTATTCGTATTCTCAAAGCTATTTGAAAGAACCAAACAGTTCCCTAATTTGAAAACCACTAGACTGTTAATACAACAAATCCCCCCCGTTTTTATCTGAGTTAAATCTGCTTTGTATAGCTTCTCTCTGGTGAGGTGAAAGTGTCTAATCATCACCACTGCTTATCCAGGACAGCAGTCAGCTCAGCTTTACTGCCAATCATTGAGCTAAAAATCTATTTCTGCTGCAGGAGGCCACACGGGGAACAGTAACAAGAATCCCTGCATCACCCACTTTAAATCTGGATCATTTAAAAAGATTCGTTGGCGCATACTGTGGAAATGCACCTGCTTAGGAAATATTTCACAGATGATAAACCTTTACTAAACTTTGGAGAGGAAATATTTTTACAGTCTACTGACAGAGTTATGCTTACCATGGTTGATTGTTAGTAGATTGGCCCGTCAAAGAAAAAAAACGAGTTGCAGCTGGCTTCAGGTTATGTGTAACCTCTCACAGCGGCCGTCAATGTGGTCCGAGTGAGTAAGTAAAGTCAGGTGGGCGCGGAGCTGTTACGGTATATTAGGCTGCAAGCCACTCCCACTTGTCTCTGACGTGGACGCGCGTTTGGAATGTGCAGGGTAGTGTAGCACGGACATAGCTGAATATATATATAACTCTGAGCAAGATGCGCGAGAAACGGAAGAAAACCCTGAACTTGATCCTTTATGTAGTAGAAGTAAAGACGCTAACTATTTGTTCGTTTTTTTTTTTTAAAGGTGGCCATAAAAGGTCATGTTGTCAGCGAGTCACCATCAGCAGAAAATACTATACATTATTAGCTCTAAAAATGCCTGAAAATGGGTGGAGATGTGCAGTCATGCTGTCATTCAACATTTTGAAAGCTAGAGGTCGTAGTAGTTTCATTATGACCCACTGAGTAAGTAAATGTGTGACAACCGATGTGATGTAGTCTTTGTTTTTCCCTCTCCCGTATTGGAACCTGCCATTTTTTCATTACCTCTGCCAATGAGGTCATGTTTTTGGTAGCATCTCCATGTCATCCTATTTGAAAAAACGATAGCTTGAAAGGTGTTGAATGAATTCTGATTAAAATGTGTCAGGGTTTAGAGCACAGGTGTCAAACTTCAGGCCTCGAGTTGGTAATGAACTAATCATTTGATTCAGGTGTGTTCACCCGGGGTCTGGACACTGGCCCTCAAGGCCTGGAGTTTGACACCCCTGGTTTAGAGGGAGTTGATGATAGCCATCCATTAAAATTTGGCTTACATCCACCAAGGCCCTCAAGGTCAACTTAATGATTTACTGATCGAAAACTGACAAAAAGTTTTATAACTTAGTAACTATGATTACAAGTTTGAACTTTTACCTTGTCTTCAGTGTCAATAAAGTGATCTGAAGGTCAAATTGTAATATAGACCTATTCTTACTGCCATTGTTTGTTTTGACAAGATATGTGCATATAGGGAATGGCAAGATTACGTTTGTTTGAACCTCTTTTGCGAAGTCAGATTAGGTCAAATGTTCACAAAATGTCTTTTATCTTTAGAACTATGCTTAAAATTCTGCTACCTTTGTTAGTATATGGCAAGATTTTGGAAGTGATACTTCCACTTGTCCTTGTTGGGTGAGGGGGTGCTATTGCGGCTACCAAGGCAGACCTTGGACAGGTTACCAGTCTGCCACAGGGCTAACTAACAGAGGCTGAGAACCAGTTGCACCTATGAGCAATTTGGAATCACCAATTCACCTAACCCCATGAGTGGCATGTCTTTGGATTGTGCTTTTCTTTGTCGCACTCCCAACCAGTCATGGACAATGGCTGTCCTCTGGCCCTCCTCTCTGAACCTGGTTCTGCCAGAGGTCCTTTCCTGTTAAAAGAGAGTTTTTCCTTTCCACTTTTGCCAAGTGCTTACTCATGGGGGGTTGTTTCATTGTTGTTGTTTTTTTTCTATATTATTGTAGGGTCTTTACCTTACAATATAAGTTCCTAGAGGCAACTATTGTTATGATTTGGCGATAGGTAAACACAACTGAATTGAAATTTAACTGATCCCAAAATGTATTAACTTTAAAAATGACCTGCCGAGTTAGTTAGAAATATCCTGTAGTATAATGTTACACAATAAGCTATTCATGCCCAATGATTTCTTCTTCTTCTTCTTTTTTTTTTTTTAGCTTTATACCACTAATGCTATGCTTGTCTTCCTTTTTAAATTATACTATAATCTTCTAAGGAATCAGTATACAGTTAATTTATGCTGACTTTTACTTTGTTTTTTTACACATATAAAGACCTCACAGAAACACAGAAATTATTTAAATCCTTTTCTGTCATTCTGCTTTGTTCTAGGTCGCAAAGGTCATCTCATTTTTTCCCAGCCCTAACACTGTTATGACCCACTAGTCTAAAAACTAATTATATGACATTGGAGAACTATACTCTCAAATAATAGAAGTGGGTCACAGCTTTATGCAACACCCTTGATGACAAATCACATAACAGGATGTGTGTTTTTCCAGTGAAGTCCCTGCTTGTGGAGGAATAGCATTAAATGCTCAGAATGTTTTACATTCAATATGTTTTACTGTACTAAAATGTAATGTAAGACTGCTTTAATTATAAAATTATATAAACTATACCATTGTGTCTAAAAGACATTAAAACACATAGTATATAGTACAATAGAGTTTAATATGATATAGCACTGAGCATTGTTAACACAAAGAGCTTTGTTGTGTGATTGATATAAAAGGATATGACAAAAACGTCATTTACTCCTTTGGTAAGTGAGTCTCATTCCCTCAGGAGGGGAACTGAGCTCAAAATGAATAGTGCAGTTTAGACTATGGTATCACTCTTACTTCAGGTTAATAGTTATTAAAAATATTTTCAAGACAAAAAAGAATTACACAGCATGGTTTATATGAAAGTGCAGAGACCTTCTACTAAGTGCATTTAGTACATTAGTAACTATTTAACTTTTAAATATTGTCAGTTTCTCTCCTGAGAATAATTATTAAATTCTATGTAGAATTTGTGAATAATACAACCACAGGTTGCTTTAATGTTTTATTACAAAACACTGAAAGTAATAAATCAACACTCCCATATGTTTTGTGTTCAGCTCTTACTGTGGGCACCTGCGGCTCCAGAAAGTGGTTTAACTTGTTTAACATATCACAGAACTGAACAATATACA